TACCACAGCTAAGTCTGTCTGCTCTGGTGCCATCATGGCCGTGCCAGTCCCATACATGGACTACGGTCCTGTCTTCAAGGCGCGGCTTCATGCCAGTTGGCAGTCGACTTGGAGTGAGCAACGCCATAACAAGCTTTTCCAGATCAAACCTTCTGTTGGTCTTTGGCCGTCTTGCTTCCGTAAGGATTGGAAGGAGGAAGTAGTCCTGGCAAGGCTACGCATTGGTCATAGTTTTTTAACCCATCGTTTTTATTTATCAGCTATTGACCCACCGATGTGTAGCCATTGTGATACTCAAGTCACAATAGCCCACATTTAACTGTCGTGCCGTCATTACGACCGTGAGCAGCGGCACCATTTTAGACACATTTTTTCTAAAAGTTTACCCCTGACGCTGGACAGTGTCATTGGTAATGGTGACACTGTCCGACTAGATTGTATTTTTAATTTTTTACACACTATACGTCTTTTTAATTCTATATAAATCTTTTACCGACATGTGTTGATTTTTAACTCGCTTGTTTTTTTTTTTACATTTTACTCTAATCTACTTTCATTGCTTTTACCGGTTGTTTGGCGCAGATAGCCTAACTGCTTTGTGCCATAAAACACCAACCAACCAACCAACTGACGGTGATTAGCTTCAGGCTGTATCTTGTTTCAGTGCTAAACAGTCATTCAACGTTCTCAAGACATAAAGGACAGTATTATAAGTGAGAGTTCAACCAATAATTTTAGAGTTAAAAGTACAAAAAGATAAAATAAATATCATAATAACTGAAAATGTTAAAATTTTATTGGGAGGGATAAATACAAACTTAGGAGTCAGTGAAAAAGTTAACTAATTTAGAAGTACAACATTTACAATTTAGAGATGTCAAGATAAAATTTAAATTTCAATTATTATATGTTTTTCTTCATGAATAAAGTACATAAGCATTATATAATGCTAAAATATTAATTCTACGGTATCTTTGAATCAAAAATATGAAACAGACTTAACTTAATTGAATACCTATCAATTTAGATGTGGTTAATTATCTTTTGATTTGAAGAGAATATATCATATTGTGTGTTTCATAATACAATCCTCCAATAATGGAAGCAGCTCAATATAGTTTCATGTGTGTAAAATCATTAATTTGGTTCTCTGGTTCATACTTGTGAGTTTGTAACCCATAAAAGTTTTTTTCTTATTCCTCCAGTTATGACAAACCTAGTTGTCATTGAACTTCCTGTGAATGAGCATTACTTTCTCTTGTGACCTTTATAAATGGTTGCAAAGTAACTTGGCAACTGAAGAAAGGTCTGTGCTTTTGTTGATTTTTAAAACTAAATTTCTTTTGATGGACTTAATAAAAGTGATACACAGTATAACATCTTTACTTTTTCAGAAAAACATGATGATGATGACGATGATGATGACCATTATCTCCATCCTAGTCTGTTTGCTGCTAAACCTCAGAAGGAAACACCAGTAAGAATTTATCTGATTTTACATCTTGGTCTAAAAGTTTACCAAAAGTTTTTACTTAAGCTTTGAAAGTTACATGAATGACCTAAATATCATATTAATAAAATGTTTTATAAGCGTTTCATTAGTTAAGAATTATCCTCTACCAAGAAAATTAAAAAATTTTTATCTTGCAACTTCATTTTGTATGTAATTAGAATTCTGTAATTTTATTTACACAAATATTAGGATTTTTACTGTAAATGTTTGATAGCTGTCATATTGTGGTTATAAGGATTTAAAGTTTGTATTACTTCCATAAGCATAGGATTTAAAAAAGAATACATTCAAATTTAATAATTTTTTATATCTAATCTATTACTCAGATTATGTTGTAAGACAGGAGATTTCTTAGAAAATTTAAATATACCACTTTACTGTATTTTAAAAGTGGTGACTTGCAAAAATCTGTTCTATGTTAAAATGGAAACCAGATTAAATTTTATACTATATAAATATTACTTATATAGTATATATATATATATATATATATATATATA